AGTTGAATGGGGTTATAAACACTGCCCAACTATTTTACAATTGATGCTTCCAGCTTTGAAACACCATGAATAAGGAATCTGATCAATGTTAGATCCTGAACTTTGTAAGCTTTTAAACAGATTTAAATTTAAAATATGAGGCAAAATGCTTTAAATAACCTTTAAGCATGCAAATAAATTAATAATTAAAGGTATTGTGGTATTTTTGCAAATAAAATAAAAAAAGACGCACCCTTTCCACTTAAAAAAAAAATGCACATGCACAACCCTGTACCTGCTCCCGAGAGGGAACGCCTACTACTATGTGTGAGAGCGTGCACGAGCCCATTTCCCCTCATGCACCTAAATTTGACCAATCATATATCAACGGTCATCTGTCAATCAAATTTTTTCGGTCACAGCATCTTGATTCGTATGTCGCAGCTAATATACGCAACGGTTTGGTGCAGAGCTAACAGAACTGGCAGCGTTGCGAGACAAGGGCTCAAACATGTACGACTGGAAGCCTTCTACACCAACCTAGCTTACGCCGCCCTGGCGTCCTCTTCCACAACATCTTCGTCCCCGCTTTCCTCCTCTAAATAAAAAATGGATGACGGAGGAGACTCATCCATGACCTCCGACACTAAACTCTCCTCCTCTAACATGTTTCCGCTGTCCATAGCGTTCCTTGACAGCGTCGTTTCTAAGTCATCAATTAAGTGCTACTTGGTCCCAATGGAATTTCCCATTGGGAACCTGCTAGCACTAAGATGCTAACTGGTTAGCAAGATGCTTCCGACAAACCGGCCACAACCAAACTTTGTTTGCTAACCTTCCGCCACAACAATCCCGCCCCCTTGATAAACGACCAATCACATTTACTTTATTCACTCGTGTAAAGTCGGGCACCAATCAGGAGAAACGGTTGGAACAGCCGCTTCCCTACGACTTTAAAAGTTGCTGTTCTCATCGCTCATACCAGCTTACTGTGTCTGTCCGTCCACCTTAACCCCTAAATCCCTCCATCACTATATAGATCGGGGAATATATAGTGAACTTTATAGTGAAGTCAGTTAACTGACCGTTCAGACAGATGATCACTTCTTTTTGCTCCGTTGGTCACATAACTCCTCGTCCACCTCGGTGCCTGCACCATCTTTGTTATTAGTCGCTGCTGTCCGGTACCGATAGCCTATGGCGGCAGCGGGCTGCTGTTACAGCAAATCCCATAATGCTTTGTGAGGAGAGCCTCTTTCTTCCCATACACTTCATAGACACTTTTTCTCTTACGACCCTCTGCCATTTTCAAAGAACCGCGGTGAGAAAGGTGAGCTTCAATGACTGTCTGAAACCGTAGCTCACCACAGATATATGCCTTAAAGTGCGCAGAAAAAGATAGCTAACGGGACGAGCGCGTAGGACGCCTTACGTAGACATATCACCAGAATGATTGACAGTTAGGAGGACCACTTATGGAGATGATCCACCCAGAAATAAAAGATTGTCCTCTATATTTTTCCTTTAAGATCAGCAGACAATGACGAGATGAAAAAATTATGATTCATAAATCCTATTACCAGATGTCACCTCATGCTAAATGCATAAGTTATATCCAGTGCCATGATTTGCAAACCAAAGACTGATCGATTTTCTCCTTTACTAGAAGCAAAATATGCTGATCAACATTGCAGCAGACCAGAGATCCTTGCAGAGGACAGGACACCCAGATAAAGACTTATTTAGTCGTTTTGAATAAGAAATACTGAAGGTCTTTCCAGATGCAACCAAGTTAGATCCAGAAGAATCAAATATTTTCATCATCCATCTTGTATCTTTACATCGTACTGCTGTTCTGCTTTTCCCCTTCTTTAAATTTGCAATAGATATCTAATATAAAAAAGACTATACCTAGAAGAGGAGATATTCATATGACATTTAGGCCCATACCAACATTAATTTGAGCAGCACTCTGTCAAAGCAGGTAGATGAGGTCCTCTGTGATGCTCTGTGGTAAATTTGTCACCTGAAAATGTCAGCATTTTAAAAGATCCCATTCATCTCTTCATTGCAGCTGGGAAAAAAGGGGTCTTGGTCAGTTATTTTATATACCAGAGGAAGCTGTCATACCAAAGCTGTTCAGACTATTGATATTTCTTTATTTGCCTGCAGAGGAAAGTCATTTGGTCCAGCAACATCTTTAAAAAAACTTGTAACAGAATTTCAATATTCTTTATATGTTCTCAGTCCAGGGAAAAAGATGGGGACATTAACAAGGTGAAGTGTCAATATTAGCTTGGGGCATGACATTGAATTAAGCTATTTGTCATAAGTCTGAGCTGCAAATACATTTTTAGCAGTGATTTACACAAAGATTACAGATTCCATTTTCTAACAGAAACTGTTCCTCAAATAATTAAGCAGCTTTAAAGGAAAATTCCGGTTTTTAACACTTTTAGCCCATTTTCTGTAGTGTCCAGGATGAAATCGAATGATCGACACCAAAATTTTGACGATTGGTCCTGTCTCTGCTATTTGGCTCATGCAGAATCCACCCCTGGCTGCTTCAGAATGGCTTGCATAGTGCATGTCAGATAATGTCCTTAAAACAACCTTAAACGTTCTTTTTTTTAAATATGCTACTCACCGAGTCGTCAGCGCTGTTTAATGACGTTCCAAAAATAGTTTCGTAAAGAAAAAACGTTCCTGTAGTGTTTTATTTAGCATTTTGTAAATCCCATTGAGTTCTGTTGGAATAGTCAATATCCCTCCGCCACCGGAAACGGAAATGGGGCCTGTTTACGCTTAGTTGTAGTCTTTTCGCAAGGCCCAAGTGTTTCTGCTTCACTCTGTGTACTCCGACGTCGAGGTGCTAACGTCTCTGTTAAACACTTTAAAAAACTCTGAAAATGGAATACGAAAGGTGGATTCTTGAGGAGGACATGTTGGACTTTGAGTTTGACGGTAGAGGATACCGTTTTGAACCGGAATATACTGAGGAGGAGTATATAGAGACATTGTCGCCAACTAGTGGTCTGGAGTGTGCAACGCTTCAGATTCGAACGGGATGCGGAAGTTTATAAGCGGTTGTGATGTATCGGAAAAAATAGTTCTGGGATTTACAAAATGCTAAATAAAACAAGACAGGAACGGTTTTTCTTCACGAAACTTTTTTTGGAACGTCATTAAACAGCGCTGACGACCCGGTGAGTAGCATATTTAAAAAAAAGAACGTTTAAGGTTGTTTTAAGGACATTATCTGACATGCACTATGCAAGCCATTCTGAAGCAGCCAGGGGGGGATTCTGCATGAGCCAAATAGCAGAGACAGGACCAATCGTCAAAATTTTGGTGTCGATCATTCGATTTCATCCTGGACACTACAGAAAAGGGGCTAAAAGTGTTAAAAACCGGAATTTTCCTTTAAAGTCGGAGGGAAATCTTTAAATGTCAAATTATTCTGGTTTAAACATGTATATAAATGTATTCTTAATCAGACAATATTGTCCCAAAACTTGGAAAATTTCTATTTTGAAAAAAAATTCAAATATCAAAAGTCAGCTGTCAATCACATTTTTTCAGTCATAGCATCTTGATTCAAATGTCGCAGCTAATATACGCAACAGTTGAAATAAGAATCCTTTCCTTTCCCATTGAGTTGCGTCCCAGTGTTCACGGGGATGGACGTCTGTGTCTTCGGCAGGCGTAGAGCTAACAGAACTGGCAGCGTTGCGAGGCAAGGGCTCAAACATGTACGGCTGGAAGCCTTCTACACCAAACCAAGCTTCTGCCGCCCTGGCGTCCTCTTCCACAACATCTTCGTCCCCGCTTTCCTCCTCTAAATAAAAAATGGATGACGGAGGAGACTCATCCACGACCTCCGACACTAAACTCTCCTCCTCTTGCATGTTTCCGCTGTCCATAGCGTTCCTTGACAGCGTCGTTTCTAAGTCACCAATTTAGTGCTGCTTGGTCCCAATGGAATTTCCCATTGGGAAATTCACTAAATTCACCATTTTTTATTTTTTATTTTTTGGTATCTTTTCTCTTTTTTTCTTGTTCCTTGCTTTGCGGAAATGATTTTGATTACTGATGAGACTTTATGTAAATAAGTTCATGTTGCTCCACCCATGTTATAATCTCGAATAAGCTTTTATATTCCAGATTATATTTGAGCATTTTTGAAATGACATGTTACATTTTTTCCAGCTCTTAAAAATGAAAAAGAGTAGAAAAACACAGAAACAGCCCATATGCTCAAAAGCTAACAATCTGCTGAGTTAGATACTATCCCACTCACTAAAATAGTTAATAAACCAGACCAACCATGCACAATATGGCGGTTATCCACTATTCCATCACTGGACGTTCAACTAGGCTGAATAGAAACTTGTTGAAGTAGACACCCTGTGCAGAGAGCCATATTGCCTATATTAAAACATCCACTGTCTACCGTCTTAGACAAGCACACGTCATCTTGCCTAGACCTGTGCATGTTGTTAATATGAATAAATTAGCATTTATTTATGTTTTCTCTTTCCTACAATAACAACCTGATTAACAACAAGCTTTTCAGCAGCCAGATGTTCTTCCATAATCAGTACGTACAGTCACCGCAACCACTTATACCAATGAGGTTACTAATTAGGCAAATGAATGCATTAATTAGGAAATGCTTCTGTGTCGTACATGTCTATCTTAAGACACAAGCGGAAGTCGGGCAAGCTGCACTGACGACGGCACACCGGAGATGTGAATAAAAGCAGCAAAAAGCTGCAGAGCTTCCAGCTCTGCCTGAAGATCTCTACATTTGGCGACGCCGTCATCACGTTTTTCCTCATGCAACGTGTCCCAGCAATGTTCAGAAGAATGTGTCCACACAGATGACATCATGACAAAAACAAGTGGCCCCCTCTGCCTTCATAGACAGCAGGGGGGGGACATTAAACATGGATCATATCCTTAAAGTAGGCCAGTGCAGCTTCACAGCAACCCTTCACTCTGATGTCTCTTTACGTCAGTGCTGAAACTTCATGCAGCTCTGCTAATCCATATAGCTGGTAGCATCACATAGCACTGGAGAGGAAAACATTAAGCCCATATGTGCCACTCTACTCCTGTTTATTACAGGAAGCAGGTTTCTGCTGGTGGGGCTCTGAATGCAGGAGAAGATGCAATCTTTATCCAGTAAAGCAACAAGTTTTGGATTAAATTGCACTAAACAGCAGATGAACTCAAATGTAAAACATGCATATTTAGACGACACTGAGATAAGCATTTACTTTTAAAGAAAATGAAGCTTGATTTGGCTTTTTTTTCTTCTTTGCTCCATCCATCTCGAGTTCTTTACTAGAATCTAGTATTCAGTAATCTAGAATTGCACTGCTATATTCTAGATTCAGGCTCCTTAAGCCAGTTAACCACTGGAGTCATTCTAATAATAATAATAATGAATTTTATTTATCATGCACTTTACATTTGATTTCAAATCTCAAAGTGCTACAAAACAAGTTTAAAAGACCATAACATTAAAAACAGAGTAAAAAGACAGTCCTTAAAATCAATACATTAAAAGGCATACGTAGCCTATTAAAGAAAATCTAAAATCAACAATTGTAGGAATTTCTAAAAAGGAAAGTTTTTAGTCCTTTCTTAAAACAATCCACCGTCTGTGGGGCCCTAAGGTGGTCTGGGAGGGCATTCCACAGACGGGGAGCTGCGGCTTCGAAGGCCCTGTCGCCCATTGTTTTTAGCCGTGTCCTGGGTGGGGCCAGACGGTGCTGTTGGCCTGACCGGGTCCGGGAAGAGGTGTGTGGTGTGAGCAGTTCAGTGAGATACATGGGGGCCGCACCGTGCACACAGTGATGGGTGTGCAGAAGAATCTTGTACTCTATACGGGCGTGAATGGGCAGCCAGTGTAAAGTGTGAAGGATGGGAGTGATGTGCTGGTGTTTCCTCACCCTCATCAGGACCCTGGCAGCGCTGTTCTGTACATACTGGGGCTTCTGAAGGCTCCTGCCAGAGATCCCGACGAGGAGAGCGTTGCAGTAATCCAGCCTGGAGGAGACGAAGGCGTGGACGAGCTTCTCTGCAGCAGGGAGGGATAGGGAGGGACGGAGTTTAGAGATATTACGGAGGTGAAAGAAGGACGTTTTGCAGATGGAGGTGACATGATTGTCAAAGGAGAGGTGGGGGTCAAGCTTGACCCCAAGGCTTGTAACAGAGGGAGAGAGGGGAATGGTATGACCACAGAATGAAACAGAGGTGAGAGGAGAGGAACGGAGTTGATGAGGAGTACCAGTTTGGATGGCCTCTGTTTTTGAGGCATTAAGCTGCAGGAAGTTTTGACTCATCCACGCCTTTATATCCTCCAGGCAGGAGCTGAGGCGGGTGACAGAGTTGGCGGGGGAGCTGGGAGGAGTCATTTTAATGTAAAGTTGTGTGTCGTCAGCATAGCAATGGAAGTTGACCCTATGCCTGCCGACGACACAACTAAGGGGGAGCATGTAGATGGTGAACAGGGTAGGGCCGAGCACGGAGCCCTGGGGGACCCCACAGGTGACAGTGTGAGGTCTGGATTTTGCCTCCCCCAGGGCCACGTACTCGGTCCTGTCAGTGAGGTAGGAGTGAAACCAGTGGAGGGCAGTGCCAGAGAGACCAATGAAATGCTGGAGGCGGTGGAGGAGGATGTGGTGATCTACTGTGTCAAACGCAGCAGACAGGTCAAGAAGAATGAGGAGGGACGTGAAACCGGAATCAGAGGCCATCAGCAGATCGCTGGTGACTCTGATGAGAGCTGTTTCTGTGCTGTGGGAGGGGCGAAAACCAGATTGGAATTTTTCATACAGATTATTGCATTTAAGGTGGTTGTGGAGCTGGGTGGAAACAACTTTTTCTAGGAGTTTGGAGATGAATGGGAGGTTTGAAATGGGTCTGTAGTTTGACAGAGGTTCAGGGTCCAAGGTGGGTTTTTTTAGGAGGGGTTTAATGGTTTATATCATTCTGTTATTTATTTCCATTTGGCATCAAGAACATATTTTTGAATTTAATCTGCTAATTTGTTTTTAGCATCTTTGCTAACTTAGCCCCCTTTTTTCATTTTGGGAAGGGCTGTTCTAATTTCCCCTAAATATCAGGGTTTACGAGGGTCATTAAAAAACATTAAAAGTCATTAAATCATATATATATATATATATATATATATATATATATATATATATATATATATATATATATATATATAAATAAAATAAAAAAAAGTCATAAAGTTATTAGCTTTTTTAATTAAGGCCTTCATTGGCATTAAACTTAATTAAATGTGATTATTATTATTATTATTTTTTATAATTCATTTATAAACAAATGTAGCCAGATATATTATATGAGAGATAGTTGGTTCTGCTTGTTTGCACCAAACTGCTTCAAGTTGATCGTAAAGCTCTATGTTTGGAAAAGAAGCTCGAGAATGGGAAAATGAAAATTTCCACCAAAGTGGCTGGAAAACGAGGAATTCAGGACATGGCGGCAGCCGGTCGAAGGTAAAGGTTTATAAGATATATAAAAAATCCTTGGTCATCTTTACCGTCGATGGGCAGCCGCCATGTCCCAAATTACTCATTTACTTGTGTAATGTATATTATATATATATATTCCTTCACATTGTGGATGTCACTGTGTGTACGGAGGTCATCTAATCAGGACAGCCTTCGTGTCTTTAAAAATACACAGGACATGGGAACATCTTGGAGCCGGTCTGATAGAGAAGAGCTATCTGTAACCCTGAGGCATAGAGGCAAGCTGCGTATAGTTCAAGACATGGATGGCGTGTCAGTTTCTGATACAGACAGCTAAACATCAACATGATACAACACATAGTCTCATGAGCTTTAAGAAGCAGGAGATGACCTTGTTCGGGGCTCAATCTTTGCCGGACGCTCGTGGACGTGATTTTTGAGCCCACAGCTGTGCAAGCTCCAAGCATTTTCTCTGTCCTCTAACGACCTGATCTGGAATAAACTCTGTTATTTTTTACTCCTGTTTTATAGTCCTTTTTTACATGTTAATACCCAGTTTGAGTTAAGAGTAGTAAATAACTTGCTCCGTGAGGAAGCCCCCAAGGCGCAATGGCTTTTTTAAGGGGGACATAACTTCCTCATTTAATACAACGTTCTCAGAGCACAAGAACAATGCTCTAACCACTAGGCCAACACTTCCCCACAAAATCTGCCAAGAACTTTCCTCTTCTTCCTCCATTTTCTCTGTATAGACAATAGAAAGAGATCCTCTGTGTCACGTGACCGCTACCTTTTACAGTTGCTTTTTTAACTCTGCTTCTGTCTCCTTGAACCCCAGTGGGCCTCAGCAGATGGCCGCTCACACTGAGCCTGGTTCTGCTGGAGGTTTCTTCCTGTTAAAGGGAGTTTTTCCTCTCCACTGTCGCTAAAAGCATGCTTAGTGTGAGGGATTGCCTTTGAGAAAATGAGTTGATGGCATCAACTGGTCTTCTTTAGATGTAAAAGGAAAGGAGGATTTTTTTCCCCCCAATTTTTGTTATTTGGGACCAATTCTTTTATAGGGAAACACCTTGCTTTGTTCTTTTACAACATGTTATAACAAAATCTGGAATTTCATGAATTACATATTCAGCCCGGCTTAGTGGAGTTGGTTTATATTTACCCATTCAAACTTGATGATCTTGAGCTCCATATATTTCCTCTTGAGTATCAATTTTTCATGCCAACCTATAAAGTCCATCTGCTATTTGTGATGCAAAGCATATTCATATACTTGCACTATTTTACATACAAATGGTGATTATTCTGTCTGCTAAGCTGCAGCTGCTCCCTGGAACCAAGCAAACAGGTGTTGCTGCATGTGTCTCTTCATTCCTCTGAAGTAGAGGAAGAGTTTGCCCTTAGAAAAACCCTAGAAGCAATAAGAACCCGCAACGTAAAACATGATCAAATTTCAGCTTCATATTTTCTCTTCCCCATATTAAGTTTTTTGTTTTTTTTCTCTTCTTTTTTTCTTAAATCAAATTTAGGACTAGGCTGCCAAGCTGGTAAAACTGAGATGAAGTAAAGCGTGAAATTTATTGCCCCAAGTAAAAGGGATATTTGGCATCTAAACTCAGGGGATGTTTACGAATGTCTGTCAGAATGTTTGTGTCATTTTGGCTGCTCCCTTATACAGTCATTTCACAGCTAGTAATTTTGACTCGCTCGTCTGACTCGGCTTTTTGAGTCGGATGCCCTTCCTGCAGCAACCAGGACTTGAACCCTGCATGCCCTGCATCAAAGTTAGAGACTTAATCCAATTGGAAGAACAGACAGATGAATATTAGCAACACTTCTGTCAGTTTTAGATTAAACTTGATTCTACGTAGTAAAACAGATTTACTGAACCAAAATGAAAATTAAGACTTCATTAAAAGATGTTTAATCTCACATTGAACCACATGGCTATAAAACCAAGCCAAAGGATAAGGAGCAGATTGATTAATCTTTTCAAAGGTGGCATCTCTGTCATGATATTGGCGCTGATGGCTGGATTAATTGCTAATTTCATTCACCTGTCTTACTCTGCCCAGTTTCTCATCACTGCTCATCTGATCCACCTGCTCCTGCTTCTTTTTACACTGCTTGGTCACAACCATCAATGTGTTAGGTTTATTTTTTTATACATCATTTGCATTGTTACTTTGTTAGCCAGATTAGACAGAGCAGAAGGCCTTCCTTCACATTGTGGATGTCACTGTGTGTACGGAGGTCATCTAATCAAGACAGCCTTCATGTCTTTAAAAAAACACAGGATATGGGCGCATCTTGGAGCCGGTCTGATAGAGGAGAGCTATCTGTAACCCTGAAGCATAGAGGCAAGCTGCATATAGGTCAGGGCATTGATGGCGTGTCAGTTTCTGATACGGACAGCTAAGCATCCACATGATGCAACACATAGACACATGAGCTATAAGAAGCAGGAGATGACCTTGTTCGGGGCTCAATCTTTGCCGGACGCTTGCGGACGTGATTTTTGAGCCCACAGCTGTGCAAGCTCCAAGCATTTTCTCTGTCC